GGTCCTGTGCCTAAACTTGTATGGATCAGTATCAGTGTACACAGCTGAAAACTGTTACGACATTTATGCATCTGCAAAGTATGTGCATCCTGTGCTTTCCCAGTCTCAAGAGTTGAACAGATTCAGCGATGCATCATGCATACTTCAGTGTGAATGAGAATACAAGACTGCATTTTAAGTCCGTTTGTCTCTCATCTTTGCAGGATCTGAATGAATGCTCAACAAAATAACGGCAGAACTGAAAGGGCGCAGGGAATATCAGATGCCGGCAAGAGTTCAGAACGTGGATAAGCGACAGCTGCTGCATCTTGTCATATCGGAGTGTCATATTAAACTAACCCGATGGTGCCAAGCTGCTGTCCACTGCTGATTTGATTTGATTGAGACACAACATTACACAGTCACTCCAAGCTATTTGACATAACAGATATTTACATATATTCCACAAGACAAAATTATATATATTAATTATATATAAATATCCAAAATATCCCATTTAAAGAATTAGATGATCCTCTTTAATAGGGGTATGTGAACTTATGATCAGAACTGTATTTTTTATTTGATCTAATGTGAACTGATGATATTAAACATTTCATAGGATTTTATTCAATTATATTTCTTATGGAATCTAGAGAAGTATATTACTTTATTTTCATGATAAATGGCTTCTGGATGACTATATTTTTGCACAGTTGTGTTGTGAGTTTTACGCTTTTTTTTTTTTTGGCTGCAAAATGCCTGTGGATAAATATTAATTTATGGACCTAGAAATGACACTCTAAAGAACTATTATATAGCACTGTATATACAGTGGAGTCCAAAAGAGGTCACACACAAAAAATATCTGGATTAAAAAATTGTAAATGGTAAATAAACAATGTTTTAGGATTTAAAAAATAAATAAATTAATTAATTAATTAATAAAAATTCTGTGATATTCTAGAATTTTTTAAAATGAATAGGAAATAGTTACGATTTAGAATATGATCATCAGGTTTAATACATACTTGTTATTGCAGCTCAAGTTCTGCTGTCATTAAAAAAATATATATTCAACTTTTATTCTTTCTAAATAATTACAATAAAGAAATAATAAAGAAAGCAGCTTAGACCTTTAGACTCCACTATATGTAAGACTTACAAATGCATACATCCGACTGTGTATCGGAGTTTGTTATATAAGCAAAATGAGGAGGAAACAACACAATAGCTCCATAAAGAGATATGTACAGAAAGCATGCCAGAAAAAATATTCCCTGCAGGCCATTTTAACCCTATAGGTGTTCTAACCAGACAGGAAATGTGTTACTTCCAGTGGTTCTCAACTGTTTGAATGAGGCGGTGATGAAGGCCATGTGCCGATCTGCAGGATTTGTTCTGAGGGACGTTAACCTCTATATTTGACCACAAGGAGGCGGAAGAATGTTCTCTGGACGGTCCCAAAACGCTCTCCTTTCAAGCACGTACACTGCTGAATACATGCCCAGATGTGGTTTAGTGTCCACCCAGAACAAACTGTTCTGGAGTACTTGAGTTCTGGTCTGAGCAAAGAAGTTTTATTTTCAGTATATTTTGGTTTATCTTTTCATTGTTTCCTAATCATTCATTTATCAAGCATGCAACATGTAGTTATCTATGTGTTATAAATACATAAATAGGGCCACTTTAACAGGTGTAGTTACAAGTTTCACATAGTCTTCAACATCACACTCATATAAACATCCCAAACCCTGTATGCAGGAGAGGATAACCACACTATGACGGTACAAATCTTATGACTGAAGTCATGCTCAGGATATTTAAAGTCACATTTACCATGCAACAGTATGGTTCCAGTATACACCACCGTCCTGTTAAACGTCCTATTCATCAAAAAATCCTGAAAAAAATCAAGTCATGGTTTCCAAAAATATATTAAGCAGCTGTTTTTAACATTGATAATATTGAGAAATGTTTCTTGAGCAGCAAATCAGCATATTAGAATTATTTCTGAAGGATCACGTGACACTGAAGACTGAAAATTCAGCTTTGCCATCACAGGAATAAATTACATTTTAAATATATTGAGTTATTCTAAATATCTTCATAATATTTCACAATATTGCTGTTTTTCCTGTATTTTTGTTCAAATAAATGCAGCCTCGGTGAGCATAAGCGACGTACTCATATGCCAGTGTTCATTGTAAATATGAGCTGTGAATAACACACAGAAGAATTTCCTGTAATACAGTCCTCTGGATAAAAAACCTGAGTCACAGATACAGTTTATACATGGGCGGCCACTTTTATGATGCAATAACCCACAGATATCATCTAACTAAAGCTGGAAAGTAGATGTAAAAATACTGTACTTTACAGTCCAGCATCAATTAAGGGAAATCAAAATGTTTCTGATATACGGATGAATGGAAATGAAGTCGAATAACTTTTAACCTAAAAGATCCAAAAGGAGAATAAATCCAATAGAGTCATATGTTCATCATGTGACAGCTAACAAGAGCATGATTTATGCGTTGTCTACTAAACCAAGACCTCAGTAATGCTTTTGTTAACCACTGGTTACTAAAACATTATTGTATTATAACTTCCTCAAAAGAAGTTCAGCACTTTTTTTCCATTTCGACAGTGACTCAGTTAACAGTTTCCTCAGACATCTATAGCTAATGCACCTATAGCGCCTCTTTCGCAAAAAATCTTCTGTGATGCAGATGTTGCACATTTAGAATGTGGGTAAAAGGTCGTCCCGCTGGGAGTGACACCATATTAGAGTCAAAAAATGCAGCTGTTCCTTTGGTTCCGGCAGCGTGATTCGGGCGGATGACTAACTGCTGCCATCAGTGTTTCTGGGAAACTCGTAGACAGGGCAGATACTGAATATCCCTGTCATTCAAATGCTAATGATCCTCTTCAGGGCTACTGAGCATCTGAAAAGACTTCGGCTGTAGGAGAGATGCATATATGCCTCACAGATGATGCTTACATTAAAATCCCATGCCTAATGTTCTCACCTGCCAGATCTGTGAGTCTTTTGTTCACAGTAACTACTGTTTTAAGATATCATTCTCTGTCTTTTTGTTAAGCAGCTCTGCAAGTACTAACCGAACATGCAGCCAAAATATCAGTGTCAAAACAATGACAGGTTTTGTGATTCAATTAAAGTGATCCACCAAAAGGCGTTCATGCCATTATTGGACCAGCTGAAACAACTGAGTAAGTGTTTGTTTTTTTGTTTGCTGCACGTCACTGGCATTAAGAAAGCAAACACACCCTGAGAGTTGTTTACAAGGACTGGAATGAGAAAATGCTTTGTCGATCCAGCATTAATCATGAAACACCCTTTAGGCTTGAAATTCAAGTGAAGTGTTTTTCTAGCTGCATCGCATTACAGATTATACAAGCATTTAAAGGCGTTTAATTATTACGATGACGTTTTCTGCACAGTTTTGAGTAAAGCCAAAGTCCTACACTATACTGTTCAAAAGTTTGGGGTCAGTAAAAGTTTTGAATATTTTTTAAAGAAGTCTCTTATGCTCACTAAGGCTGCATTTATCTGATCAAAAATACAGTGAAAATAGTAATATTGTGAAATATTATTACACTTTAAAATAACTGATTTCTATTTCAATATATTTTCAGATGTAATGTATTCTTGTAATGGCAAAGTTCAGCATTCATTACTCCAGTCTTCAGTGTCACATGATCCTTCAGCAATCATTCTAATATGCCGACTTATGAAACATTTTTTATTATTACTAATGTTGTAAACAGTTGTGCTGCTTAATATTTTTGTAGAAACCTTTATACATTTTTTTAAGAATTCTTTGATCAATAAGAAAGTTCAAGAGAACAGCATTTATTTCAAATAGACTTTTTTGTAACAACTTCTTTACTGTCACTTTTGATCAATTTAATGCATCTTTGCTGATTAAAAGTATGAATTATTTTTAAAAACATCTTGTTGACCCCAAACATTTGAAGGATAGCTCCATTAAACATATAATTCCAGACGTGACTATAATGTTAACAAACAATCAAGTCCTGGCTTCTGCTCCACTTCTGAATACCCTTTCAAATCCTGTTTTGACCATGTCTGCAAAGTACACTGTAAAAACAAGCAAATCTCTCTCTGAAAACCTGAAAAGCTCTCGAAAGCTGAAAGGTAAACTCTGTAACACTTGTACTTTGATATCACCCCCTGGAATAAACACCAAGTCCTTTGTATCACAAGACAAAACAGCTAAAAACACAGGAGTATTGCTTTTCTATGGGATAGACAAGCTCTCAGGCATCACATAAAGAGGTATCTGAGCGTAGTCTTCAGAAACCTCCAGTGAATGCTGGCTTTCTGGGAGCGTGAACTTTCCCCTAATTCTCACACTGCTCTGTGCTCACAGAGGAACAGACCACAGCGCTCAGCTGCGGCACGTTCACCTCGTCTCTCTACACAAAGCCTCTGCCACAATAATGACTTCATACTGGGAAAACCCCGGTGTCCATTCACACCAATTCCACTATATTCTCTCTACATAGTTTATATATGTAGTTTACTATGTAATGTATATTTTATAAATGTCCACTACTTGGACATTAAACAGGGCAGGATGTACCAAACTGAAATCATTCACATTTGATTTGTGAGATTTAATATGTCCTTTACAATTTAATAGTCTCAGTAGGACTGTTTGTGGGAATTAGTGTAATAAAAATGTTAATATAAATATAATTAATCAATGAAACCACTGACTAAAAGTCAATATAAGTCCACATACAAACATAAATTGCTCAATATTCATTATTGTTGAAGACCTACACTCAATTTTCATTAAATCTTGAAAAAAAATTTAAATGAACAGGCTTTCTGGTTGCAACCGAGTCCATTCTTACATCATGGTCCACATTCGAAGCAAATATATGGTTAAGGGGGAGGAGGTTGAAACCTGAGCAGACTCACACACTCCCTCCAAATGGCCAACCAATCAGAACAGACTAGACGGCTTAGAAAGGGTATAAAAACAAGTTAGCCTTTCAACCGCATGAGCCTGTGCTCTTGAGAATACTGCGACAGCTAACCAGTCTCTACTACAAGTTAGAATAACCAGACAACCACAGACACAAAACGAGCAAGATGAAGGTACCACTGGCAAATCTGCTATGCATCACAGTCTTGGCGAGCTCCGGGACAAGCTTCCCGCTGGAAAGGAGAGGAGCTGCTACTGGAAAAGAGAAGAGAGTTCAGTATGCAGCTTGGGATGATGTTAATGTGCTAGCACATGGGTTGCTGCAACTAGGTCAGGGTCTTAAAGAGCATGTGGACAAGACCAAAGGCCAGGTGAGAGACATCAGCATCAAGATGAAGGTCTTCAATGTCACCATATCCGAGCTAGGCAAGCTGACACAACGGCTTCAAGAAGACAGCGAGGCGTTGAAAGCAAAAGCCCAGAGTCTGGAAGAACGTGAGAACGTGGTGCTAAACGTGTCAATGGATCTGCGGGAGAAGACGGAAGAGCTGCTCAAAGACAGGAAGAAGGACCATGAGAGGATGAATAAGCTGGAAGAAAAAGTAGATGGCTTAATGCAAGGAGAGGGTTTGGAAGCTGCCAACGGCAACTACAGCGATGCCCGAACCATTCAGGTAGGTGAAAAAAAAACTCATTTCAGGGCTAAAAGAATGTGAAGCATATCGTCTAGGATTTTAACCTTAGGCTAACAACATATCTGCCTGATATGCATTGTAATGTTTGGTTGTGCATTTGCATATATGTGTTAAAGTCATATTCCAAATACTTCAATTAACTAATCAAGAATTATTTGGCTAGGTTTATGTGGTTTTAAAAAAACCTGCATTTCCAATAGAGCACACGAGCCACTCATGGCATGAACTCAAGAGCTGTGTAGTACCCTACGTGCAAGATAGCAGCTGTTCATACAAAGAAAGTGACAAAGCCTACTGACCTCCAGGAAAGTTTGAAGTGTGTTGACCTTCGCCCCTTGATACATGTCTCAGCAAGAAACAAGCTTAACAGAACCTTAAGTGTTTCATACGCATACAGACGTATATAGTTTTTCACTGTCTGCAACTTAGCGAGTTCGTGTTACTGTAACATAACGATGTACAGAAAAAAAAGCTGTGTACAAGACCGGTTATACTGGAAAATAGGAACTTAATTGTCAACAACTCCATGATTATCGTGGCGGTCTGCTGAGGTTTGGAAAAGGCCATGTTTTGAGTGTGAATAAAGACTGACCGCAAACTATTTCTGATTTCAGTTGATGCTGGAGGCGCAAAATAAGCGCATTGATGATTTAGTCGAGCGCATCAAGCAACAGCAAGAAAAACTGGATAAACAAAATGTTCGCATTCGGACCCTCCAACACCAGGTAAGAATACTACAAAATAAAATATAATGTAACTATTAAGTAGTGTGGTGTCAATATATTAAGTCTATGACTGCAAACTTACCCATAATATTCATGTAGATTCGTATGAACAGCGAGCGGTCTTCTCTCAAACGGGAGGATGATGTTCATCTGAACGCGAGCTCTGAACAGCGAGATTCACCTGTTGGTAAGTCAGTTCATCATATTATGCTGTTACACCTTTATAATTAAAAGCTGTTTTTTGGGGGGGGTTTTTACATATAATAATATGTTGAAAATGTGTTTCGTAAAAAAATACACAACAGTTACTAAGACACAAAATCTATATGCTGGCGAAAAGAAGTCTAATTGTTCCATTCACATAATGAATCTGCCTTATTGCACAGTCTCTGATAATTCAAACACGCACAATAATATAATTGCATCTAAAAAACATACAAGAGGAGGTTTTGCTCTTTATCAAAAACATGCTGAGACTTGTGCCACTTGTTTTGCTCCTTTAGCTTTGTTACGTGCTGCATAATGTTAGGGAAACGATTTTGAAAACATATGGGAAATGTCTTATGGAAATAAGACTCAACATTTCAAACATTTAACTATGAGTATTTTAACACTGTGTGTGAGGGTTGAAAATGGAAACTCCATTTCAAAGCAATGACTACCTCTAAGTAGGTGAAAGGTGAATCTATCAGAAACACATGGGCCAGAAGAACAGTCATCCAAACTAACACAATAAAGCCTCTCATGGCGAGTTCTGACATCAGTGGGATCCAAGGAATGCTTTAAAAAAACAAGTTTCCCTGGATGCCTTCCAATTGTGTGAGAGTTCATCAGTCTTGGACTGTTAACTCAGGGTCACGACTCACAAGCATGCAGAGATTTGTTTCAAATCTGGCCAAGAGCAAAGGGAGTTTTTTTTTTTTCAGATATAGTATATCCTGTACTTTAGATTAGATTTCCTGGCTCTAATCCACTGAACACCATGTACAGAGTGCATATTTTTGGACCATGAACTTTATACAGATTTTCCCTGTCGTGTGGAGATCACTCCAAAAACACGTAATTTCTCTCAGAAAACGTGTAACCTTTACCCTAGATCTGTCAGAGCCAGACTATCCCCCTTAGACCCCCACCCCCACCTCTACTCATTCACACAGACCACCCCTTTTATTGTAGTCAATGAGAAGTGTGCCAGACTAAAGAAGACCACTTCACTTAAAACCATATGCTTTGATCCTTTTAAATCTGCTGCATTCATTTTTTTTTAAGTTTACACACACACACACACACACAGATAGATAGATGTGTAACAAATTTAATGCATTGTGATGTCAGCAGAGGGGTGCTGTGCACGTGAAGCAGGCGTGGAGGGCTGGACTAAAGGGGGCAGGGGGAAGGAATGCTTGTAGCTCTACTGAGGGAAGTCTCTGCTTGGGAACTGGGGGAAAGGTCATGTTTACACCCTCAATTGTTTCAGCCAGGTCAGAATTCACATGTGAAACTGCCTTTGTTAGGCAGATGTTTGCCACACTTGCCTGAGAAATATATGTCAGTGTGTATAGCAACACGTCAGATGACTTGGACTATTGCCCTGGAGTTCAAAACAAACTCCATGTTGGCTTTTGGGTTCTTGGGTGGCACGTTCAAGGTTCTGTGTTTGAGATAAAGATTAGTTCACCATTAAACAATGTGATAAACTTTTACCCTAGACGTGTGAGCAATTTCCATTTAGTGCCAATTTTAAAATCCCTGTTTGGATACAGGCTTGGGTAAAGGTCATTTGCAGACATGTGAACATTTTTGTGGTGTTTTGGTGTCTTTCAGCTATGGCTTCTGACTGTCATGAGTTGTTCCTAAGGGGTGAGACCACAAGCGGGCTGTTCACCATCCAGCCAACTGACTCTGAGCCTTTTGAGGTCTTCTGCGAAATGACACCCGGTGAGTGGCGCGAACCAATTTTCTGCCACTTTTATTTGTCCATTTATCTCACATCCCTCTTAAAAGAGCATCTATTGCTTCTTTGTTCGTAAACCACATTGGATATCGCCTCCCCATCCCCCAAAGCATCACTCAGAACAGCTTGTAATCCTCTTTTTTTTGTGCGTGTATCCACAGAAGGAGGATGGACAGTCATCCAGAGACGCCAAGATGGATCTGTAGACTTCGATCAACTTTGGCAGGCATACCAGACTGGCTTTGGGAACCTAAATGGTAAGAATCCAATGTGAACTGACTTCACTTTGCATGTGACCAACAGGCTCTGAGCAAATAGCCACATCTGTTAGTACACTTTGATTAAGGCGTAGAGATTTACCCACTAATAAGGGTTGTAGAGTGGCAGATTAAGAATAGAGGATCAGATCAATCCTGGCTGGAGAGGAAACATTGTCAAATCCTGTATCCCTAATGCCCTTAAATTATTTAATTGCAGAGTGACTAAATCTCCTGACCTATTCCTAGACCAGAGTACACAGAGTTCTTAAATATCCCCCTTAAATGTCACTTTCAGGCGAGTTCTGGCTTGGCCTGGAAAAGATCCATTCTGTGTCCAAGGGCGGAAACTACATCCTCAAGGTGCAGTTCTCTGATTGGCGGGATGAAGTTCAGACCATCAACTACCCTTTCCGTCTGAACGGCGAGGAGAGCAGCTATTCCTTGCGCATTCTGGGGAGTCCTGCCGGGAACCTGGAGAGCTCTCTGTCCACCGAAACATCTGGAGTGCCCTTCTCCACCCGCGACAAAGACAATGACCAGAAGATTGACCTCAACTGTGCCAAACAGCTATCAGGTAGCATCATGATGCCATGGGCCATAAAAGGGGTTTTTCTTTGTGGCTGATGTTGTGGTTCTAATTGGTTTCTATTTTTGGCTTTCCAGGTGGTTGGTGGTTTAGCAATTGCGGTCGCTCAAACCTGAATGGCAGATATTTTGTTACTCCTGCACCAAAGCAAAGGCACCAGAGAAAGCAAGGGGTGTTCTGGAAGACCTGGCGCGGTCGCTACTACCCGCTGAAAACCACCACCATGATGATTGCGCCCGCCGAGATCGAGAATAAGTCATAGAGGACCTCTGCTGAGATCCTAACCAATGATATGGGTGGAGAAACCACCATTTGTAACCTGCCAAAATAACGTGTTGGTGCTGTAAATGTCTAAAGCTCTATTAGGAGTGTCTTTGTTAGAACAGACAAAGTCTGAATCATGAATGTGGTGGACACTCAAATCCCAGTCTGCACAAAAATAGGCTCTTTTAATTAGAACTAAATGTGCCTGGAGCTCTGCAAGCAGCAGCATGTTTTATATGGTGCAGGCCACTGTAAGGATCTGCTACATGTTTAGACAAATCTGGCAGGGTGACGTCAAAAGACCTTATGGTTAAGCACCATTGCAAGCACTTTCCAAAGCTCAAAAGCTTGGGGAAGAAATTAACCTTGCCACTAAAATACGGACCAAATAAGCTATTTAAGCTTGAGCCAGTACTTTTGAGAATGCTTATTGTAAAGGCACTGTTTATCTTAAGGCATTATCCACAGACATGCGTTAGTAGATCTGCAGAACATTCAAAGTTCATTGCCTGTCAATTCATTTCAAGTATCTAAATGTGGAAGTTATTTTCTGGTACGCACATGCTGTTTTTCAAAAGCTTAAATGATCTGAGACTACTTGTGTATTTTTCTGTTTTGAAATCAAATGAGGAGTTCCTGTGGAGATTCATTTTCTCAGTCACATTGACTGCCTTTTATATGTCTATAGCTGTCACTTCCATGTAAATAACAGAAATATACATTTTCTTCGTAGCGTTACCGCTGTATTCTTGCCAACTTTAAAAGGTCATGTTCTGATTTCCATATTATTTAAATGTTGTACAAAAATCATTATGTATTTCTTTATCTTTTTGCTTATAATTTATGTTTTCCAAAAAGTAAAGCATTTTGCTATTGTTTTTATAAAAATGTTTGGTCTTGAAGAGACCAATAAAGACTGATTTTATTTTAAAAAACTGTCAGTGTCAGTGAAGTTCTTGCATTAAACAACAAACGTAATGCAAAGTGAATGGGCTTGTTTAGATCAGTATGAAGTGTCAAGCAGACATGCAGCTCCTTTCAGACCTGAGGGTTAAGTGCATCTACATGCTCATGAGACGGCAGGTGATGCTGGAATGTCCTGACGGTGCTCAAGCTTGCTCAGTGCCCTAGAGACAAGAAACATAATAACTAATATAATTGAGCAGATGGCTGCAATTATACTTACAAGTCATGCATACAGTTGAACTGCTGTTACTTCTATTATTAAGAGTCAAAAACAATTGGAAAAAAGTTGTTTTAGTCTGAATTAAAGTAAAAATGACTATGTCCTTGAATGTTCCCACAGGAGTGGTGCCATATGGTCTTAATCACACGTGAACCTTACTTAGCGGAAATCAGCTTATTCTTCTGACTTGACTTTAAGTAACTAAAGTTGCATTGGCTTCCGAGTGTCACACTCAATGTTTCACACCTGAGAGAAATTCTTAACTTACCAAATCGTCACTAATGTGCTTTCAGTTACTTACTTCCAGATGAGTTTAGCGTACAGTATTTAACAGTAAAATGCTTTTACGGTTTAAGAGAACAATTGTCTAATCAGAGTTATCTTTTCATCTGTGATAAGACATTGTGTAGACAAACAGAAACAAACTGAAATGTGTTCAGGGTCTACATGCAAAATCCTGCTTAATAATAATGACAGATGCTTTTGACATTCACAGGCTTAAAGGCAACAAGATAATGTACTTTATATTGACAAAGGCCACATGTCTAGTGGAACTGACATTATGAAACAAGGTCACTGCGTATAGTTCCTTCATGTATAGTATGTAAGTTATTAAGTGTATTATAGCCAACTGAAAACTAGGCCACTGCACAAACATAAAGACATGTTTCATTATATAACAGCCATTATGGTTCTTAAAGCTTCATTCAACAGTCATTCTGCCTATTGATGCCTTTAATGTATTGTTACTGTATTAAGAACCACTGGAGCAGAACATTACCAAGGAAACTGACAAATATTATTCAGTTATATGACACCTTTGATTATCATTAATCCTGATGACCACTCAGTACCCACCCTTTGCTGTTTTGTATTTTTATTTTATTTTAAATATGTTTTGCATTTCACTAAAAACCATTGCACAATTTGCTACCAACATTTGATTAAGCAGCATTTTAGATGAAAATATAATGTACAAAAAAAAAAATAAAAAAAATAGTTAAAGCAAAAATGACATGGGGCTTTCTTTCTTGTGTGGAACACAAAACATATTTTGAGAAATGGCTGAGGGTTTTTAACCATACAATGGATGTCAATGGTAACCAAAACTGTTTGGTTCTTATTCTTCAAAATACTTCTTTTGCGTTACACAGAAGTGTAAGAAAGTGTACAGATTACATGTGTAGTATAATGTTTGCATAATATTGTATGTATGGCAGATTGAGCTTTAGTCTACCTGCTTCAACAGGAGTCATGAAGATAAATCAATCTGGAGCTTGAGGAGGTGAGCGGCTTGTCAACATGGAATGTAGCATTTCATTAGCAGGAAGACATTCATTTTGACAAGCTCACAGCAGGCCTGTTTGAGAAGAGGCACAAGTAAGGCATTAAAAGCACAAATCTGCACATGTGAAGACAAAGTGAAGTTGTAAAAACATACTGCAACCTCAGGCAGTAAAAACTGGAGCGAACTGGAGAAGCTAGAGAGATCTTGTTAAGCAGCGCCACCTAGTGCAAGCGACCAAACCAACGTCACAATATTGACAGAGTAGTTTGCAGTAAAATATATTGAATTTATTTATAAAAACTGTAATATTTAGCTTTATAATATTTAGAATCTTTCAACCATATTACAAGCCCTCTATTACAAGGTAACCCTTATTGAGTGAGTTTAATTTAGGCTAATTCTGCATCCTGTTTTTGCACACCTTTCACAGACCATTTGTTAAACAAAATAAAAGTTAAAAAATAGTTAAATATTAAATAATTATTCAAATATATATATATATATATTTTTTTTATAAAATAAAATAATTAGCAGGTGCTTTATAATAGCATATTCTTGATATGGTGTAGCTCATGCTGTCATTCTCACTCATTACCAAATGATGGCAGTATTACGTATTTTACGTACACTTTTAGACAGTTTTTGAGACGAGCCCTCTTTTTCTCAAATCCAAAGATTATGCTATACCATTAACGATATTAGCAATCCCTTCTCCAGTATCTGAGTATGTAATAATACATAAATGCTTAGCTGACTCAGCACTGCTTGATTATTTGACTGACTGGATCATTAATTATGGATCCAGGATTCTGAAATAAGCATTTGGTTTAAAAGACTGCAAATGTTAATCTTTCACAGGACTGAAAATGACATACTTGCTTTGTTTCATTTTCAAGTTTTCGGAAAGAATGATTCATGACAACAGTAACTGTTGTTCATATTTTATTATGAACCCAGTCTTTAATACATCCATCTAACCATCTTATTCCATAAGAAAAGTAAAAAACAAGTGTAAAGCATACAGATACTGTATATCCATTTATGTTACTTATCTGAGCAGACCTAAAATTTCCAATGTCTAGTACAAAGTGTCATTTGGAATGAGAACAAATACTGTGGGGAAAAAAAGTAGTGAATCCAGTTCCTAATTTGGAATGTTCAAGGCTCACAATGTTATACTTCAATTTCCTTTCGCAATACTAGAATCCAAAGAAAACAAGACAAGCTCCAGTTGTTCTGGCTAAGCGAACTGTAAAATATTTGATGAGAATATGGAACACTAATACAAAGATGAACTCTTTAAAACATTACAGATTGCTTGTGTGACAATAAAGTGTATTATAAAACATAAAACACATTCATCTCCTCTAATCAAGTGAGGAAGTATAATATTTAGAATGTCAAAAGCAGAAATTACTCAAAAAAAGCTGCTGAAGTGATAGATGAACCCTTCCTTTTTGTGCGTGTCAAGAATGTGCTCTCACTTTCCAGCCTAAAAACACAATAACAAATTATTACTGGGGGGAAAAAAGCTCTTAAATTAACACAATGGACCATGTAACTGCAGTAAATGTTCGTCTTATATAACCCTCACTATTTTAACTTTGCATCTTTCAACTGTAACAGCAAAAATTCACCTTCATATGCTCAACTGACAACAAAAAGTGATTTTAAACCCCTGAGCATGTTCAAATAATGAATCAGGCTCACTTAACGCTCTTTCTCGTACATACTTAATATCAAATTTCTTCACAACAGCTTGATTAAAGCAGAAAAAAAATACAATCATTATTTGGGATTATGTGAATAACTTTACAATAACCCCCGTCATACTTGTGTTTAACATCAAAGTAGAGATCAGCATTTTCACCGAAAATTAATAAAATAAAAACTTCATTAAACTAAACAATTAAGCAAATACTAAATATTATTATAGTGGTTGTGCAATTAAATGACTGTCACTTGAACCATATAAAATACAAGAAGCATCAATAGACGTAACACTTAACTGATATGTTGTGCAGGGCTCTCGCTTCAAATTAATAAAACAATGTTTATTTTAAAAAAAATATGTTTATATTTAAAACATAAGTGATATGTCATATTGGTCACTTTCACCACTATCCGACAGATGGCATGCTCACTGTGATGTAATGGAATGCTTTGGATATTTATATTAAAAAAAATATGTTTATATTTAAAACATAAGTGATATGTGTCATATTGGTCACTTTCACCACTATCCGACAGATGGCATGCTCACTGTGATGTAATGGAATGCTTTGGGTCTTTTGTTTGCAAGGAAGTATCAACTTCCCTTTAGCTTCTTATTGAGACTCAATGCCTGCGATTGGTTGTTTCAGTAATCTTGACCGTCATCCTGATAACCCTGGTAGCCCTCGTCTTGGTAATCCATGTAGCCAGTGTCAGCTTCTCCGCTTGCGCTGGGTGCACCTTTGGGGCAGTACTTGGCATCATAGATCTGACGGCCAAGCCCGAAATTCTGCCCGCTCTGGTTGGCGCCTTGAGCGTAGCCCATTTGTAGAGACATTGTGGAGTTGTCACACTTGTCAGTGCCTAATTTCTGGTCGTAGATGGCACGACGTGTTCCTGGAGCGGTCATACCAGACTATACCAAACAGATGAGAGTTATTTAATATTATTCATATACTATTATTATTATTATTATTATTATTATATGTACTATTATTATTATTATTATTATTATTATTATTATTATTGTGTTTATTTATATTTTGAATTAGCTTTTATATATTTTTTACAACATTTCCAATGTTTCATCTAATATTTATTCATTTCAGCTTTATTTCAGTTAATGAAAACACTTTTTAATCGTTTTAATTAACAACACTGATACAAATTAGATGGGCAGAAAATGAGCGATAAGAATTGTGTTTTTGTCATTATTTTTTTAATTTATTGAATTTAATTTATTCCATTTAGCTTTAAATTTACATTTCAGATTTTAGTAATTTTAGTACTTCAACTTAAATATATTGTATTTTAATTCAGCAAGTTCCAAAACTTTGGAATATTAAAAAGTTTAACTTTTTAATCTATTTAAATTTAATTTCAGTCTTTTTACTTAAAAGTAAAAAAAGTTATTTTTTATATTTCGATTTAGCTGTAGTTTACTTTGTTTTAGTAATTTTGGTTCTTCAAACATTTGACACCAGTTAGTGGCCTAATTTCATTTCTTTTAATGCTTTTTAAAGTAAAAAAGAAAACAAATTATCTTTTAATATTTCCATTTAGCTGTAATTTATTTTTAGCTTTAGTATTTTTGGTACTTCAAACATATTTTACATCAGTTAGTGACAACTTTTCCAAATTTTGTTTAATTTTTAAGTTGAAAATTTTTCCATCTAATATTTATATTTTATTTCAGCATAATTTCGTGCTTTTTGATGGTTTCAATTTCAGTTAACAATGACACCACT